CTGCAGTAGCTTCCATGTGTGTGCCTTCCGTGTGAATCATGTGTTAAAATGCTGAGTGTTTCAACATCGTTAAAGAGGAAGTCTCAACAACAACAGTAGGTTAGGTAGATTAATTCTGCTTAATTTAAAATCTACAATTAAACATTTAAATATAATTTTTTCCCTTTGGATCCCTTTATATCCAGTGGAAAGAAATACACAGCCTCAGAGGGCCATTCATGTGCCTTTGGTTAGATAAGTATCTTAAGATGAGTTGAATCAGCCTGCCAAGGTGCCTAATTATTTCCATCGACTACAAAGGAAGCTGAAGGTGACTAACTGGTCGTTAACTTCAGATGCTGAAACAGGGCAGGTGAATTCCACCCTTATAGGAGGAGATAAGTATCTTTAAAAAACTAAACATAGATTATACTGAGAGACCATAAATCCTTTCTGACAATACTAGAGGGTAAAAGTATGGATTGGGTAACACAACAGTGACTCTAATTCAGTAATACTGTAAGAGATTGGATTTAAAAAGTACTTATGAAGGGAAAATAGCAATTGTAACTCTTCTAGTTCCTGAAAGTTTTCCTTGAATATCTGTTGGGGTTCAAGATGAGAGAGGTAGCGTGGAAACTTACCTGACCATACAAAGTAAGTGCTCCCCAGATCCTAAAACCAAGAGGAAGGAGGCAAAAACTAATGTTGAGGGCAGGAGCTCTCTTAATTTATTTTGAGGTCACATAATAGCTATAAAACTATAACAAGCATAGTTATGACTGGTGCACAGGAAAGCAGAAGCATGTGGGCTTCCTTTATTGGCAGGTTTATTAGGTCGGTATCATGTTAACATCGTGTTCTCAAATGGATTGGAGTCCTTGATCTGTGGTATCTCCAGAGAGGGCTACTTTAGAAGTCGGAGGAGCTTAGGAACATGGATGATTGCTGGATTCTGCCAAATGTGCTGGTCTGGTTTTGAGGACTGATTTTCTAAGAGCTGGAACTCCAGGAGCATTAAGGGTTGTAGAGGGGAAAGATTAGATGTGGGGAGTGAGCTGACTATTTATGCTCAGAAAGCAGGTGATTTAGGCTTCAGATGGTCTCTAGATCTGGTAAAGCTAGCAGGTCTAGAACAGGGCCTAGGATTGGAAAAGTCTGGTGGTATTTAGTAGCTCTAATAGTAAATCTGCCTTGAGTTTGATAGATTTTCAGTTGTATCTAGGAGCAGAACTAAAAACTTTGTAAAAAGCTTGTTGGTTAGGATGATGGCTGGTGCCATTTGAAGTTAGTGGGTTAGACTAATTTTGTTCGTGCTTTGCATTGTGCCAATAGCACCGATTTGGCTTAGGTAGCAGTAGTGTTGCAGACAGCAGAGATGTGTAAGCTTCGTTTAAAACAGGATCCTACAGCCCACCCTTATAGTCCAAACCCTCTGTCAGTGTATCCTACACCCTAAACCTGGGCCTGGTTGTAATGCTAACATATAGTCTTGATCAGAGATTCAAATTAATCTACACATTTTCATAGAAACCACTGTCTCCCGCAGATGCTGCCTGTCATCCTGACTGTCGATTGTCTAAGTCGTGGCAATCTGGTGAAGTTCCCAGTG